TATGATGTAAAACCTGTAGGTCTCTGGTAACCCAAACCCTAATGGAAGTAGCTCTGAACTAAAAACAAGGAAACCAGGCCCAAGTTTGTCACTGTCGTGTCTCAGAACCTTGCATAAGAGTTTACTTGTCTGTGCTTCAGTTTCTTCATATTTAAAATGGAGAAATCCTAATCCTAGCTCTAGCCCTTATCCTATTTCATGAAGCCCTTAGGACGATACCATTGAGTAATATGTAAAGCAGTTGGAGCCTATTTTAATGAGCTACATAATTTTTTAAAGGATATTATTGATTTGGACAGTAAAGAATAGCCTGCAGGCAAATCCTGCAAGGTGCTTCAACAGACCCACGCATCTACCTTCCTGTTGGCACAGTCCATGTTTGGCAGGTGTATTCCATTCCTTACAGGAAGGAATAGGTGCTTCATTGTGTTTCAGAAGTTAGTAAGCTTTAAAAAAAAAAAAAAAAAGAAGTTAGTAAGCTTTTACGAAACTAAGTAATTGACATTTTTCTCATTTCTGAGATCAAATTTTCATAAATCATTCAACCTGGATAAACTGAGAATGTGGTTTATCTAGTAATTGTTGAAATGTAGTGGCAACATTGCAAAACATAATATTAAAGTATTTCCTCCTAATCTCTTACCATAGCAAAATATAAGAGTTCTAAATGGAAAGATGTCCTAATGTATAAAAAGGAAACAAAAGTGAGATGAACCAGTCTATAAAGGAGAAGCCAAAAGAAGCACAACACATTCATCCCAGTAATTTGGGATACCAGTGATTTTGAATTTGTAGCAATAATAATAATAACTATACAAAGTAGAGCTTTTTATGAGGAAAAAATTTTTTTACTAGTTAGTAGTATAAATGATATTATGGGGAAGGGATATATTTAACCAACTTAAAAGCATGTATTCTGATTTTAACAGTATATGAAGAGAAATGCTATTAATGGCTTATCTAGATTTCTACTGGGAACCATTTGTTAACAGTTATTCCAAGTAACTATCAGATTTTAACAATAAACTTAAAATTTTATAGTGTAGTTCTGTAATTTATACTAACATTTTTCTTCCCCCCTCATCTACAATTCAAACTTTGTCTTAAAGGATTCATGTAGTTCCATGAATCATAATATTCAGAGTGTATAAGATAGCACTAGTTTTTGTCACTACAGAAAATCCAACTAATATAGACTAATCTATGAATACAAAGAATTTGCCATGAATCCTCTAGTTAAGGTATTTATACCACTAGGCTGTTATAATAGATGTATAGTATTTATGTATAATTTACAGTTGATAAATTTGTAGTAATAAACTTAGACAAAACTTGTCTTTATGCTAAGATTGTTACTATCTTTCTTAAAGCAAAGATTTTTAATGCACTGAATTATTTTGTTTCATTTTCCTGGTTTTTGTTAACAGCATTTTTAATACATGCAGAATCATGCAATAAACTTGAACTAGTTTGCAGTGTTGTATGCAGTTGATTTTTTCATTCCTTCCTGAAACTTCCAAATAGTCTCAACCAATGTGTATAGCACTAAGAATACCCTCATTCCTTTAGTGTCTAGCTCTGTGCTGTGTTTATTTGCAAAGGACCCTCATGCATGGATCCATATAAATGAGGCAAACTATGCAGCAGACTAGACTATGTCACTTACCAGCCTTTGAGGAGGGAAGATTGTGTATATGAAAACTACTAGGCATGATTTTCACTTATAAGGAAGATTTCTTTGTGTGTAACATCAAGCAAGACTTTTGTTAGAGGTTTTATGCTTTCAGTAAAGAAAATACAAGGAAACCAATTAATAGTCTGATTCCATCATCGTTTGTCAAACAAACCTCTCACTGATCCACATGAATGTGATCTCCCACCCATGGAATAACCTAAAAACACTGCAGAATGGACTTCTGAACTTTTGACTCTATTTTCAGTTTAATTGGTAGGTTTTTAATCAGCTAAAAAAATCAATTTTCTTTGGGAAAAAAGCCTATACTAGTAATTCCTAGCATATTTATACTACTCAAAAATAGAAACTTGTTGTAGAACAGGAAGTGTGGTTTTATTATGTCAAATCATTTTTTTATATTTAAATTATTTCCATGCTACAGGGATATGAAATTTTTCTCACATAGTCACTTAATGCCTGGCTTTATTTTCTTCAGCTGACTCTGAAAAAGAAAGGAATTTAGTGCATAAGAGTTGTACAGTATACCAACCAATGTGTCACTTATTTAGCTAAGTAACAGGTATAATATTGCTGGTATTTCTGTGTTGAAATATGTACTTCTCTTAGGTAAAAATCAATTTGAAACTCTTCTACACTTAATATGTCATCTTGTCATTACAGTAAATGATTCATTCACAACCTTAATACAAAAAGGTAAGTGTATTGAAATGAGTATTTTATATACTTCATGCGGCATCTAATGCTGACATAATCCAAGGATCTAGGTTAAAGTTTGTGGTGTTGCTGTTTCTTTAACCTCAAACATTTGGCACTCTGCACCAGTAATGCCTTGTCTCTTAACGTGACTATGAGGACTGTTGGTCACAGGCAAATACTGTCCATTTTCAGCCAAAACATTATTGATAACAATTGTACTTTTTATTTTCTTTTTCTCCCTTTCCCACTCTCCCCCACCCCCAACTTAGGTTAGAAAGGCTGGTGGACGTCCTGAGGAAAAAGGTTGGAACAGGGACCATGAGGACAGTGATCTGACTGAAAAAACGACAGTCTGGAGAAGAGCTCACATCTGGTGACCAGGCTGCTTCATTCAACACTGTGTAAACACTGAAGCCTTAACTTAGCAAACAGTTGTTAGAAGTGGTACACTCCAACCACATTCCAAGCCAAGATAAAATCAAATCACAAATGTTTAACCACTTTGCTGCTGACTTGAGTTATTTATCCAAATATATTAACTACAGATTTTTACCAATGGGTAGCTATAAGGTTGCAGCTTATTTTGTAACTATTTTATATCTCAGTGTCTTTAATATAAATTTTTTTACTGAGAGACCACTGTAGAAACATGGAAAAGTTGGTTAGGATCATATCCTCACATATGGCCCTTTCTGAATCAAAGTGCAGCAAAGTAAATATTGTCTAAGCTTTAATCCACTATGTTAGGTCAAAACTTCAAATACATGCATTTTTCAATATGGAGTATATTTCTTAACTGATAAGAGCAGCTCAGACATAAGAGTATATAGTCTTCCTTCAATATGTGTATGTAATCTTTGTTAGTATTAAAGAATATTTAGTAGAGATGCCATGAATTAAATGTATAATTTGCTTTAATAAGAGTTTGGTACCTTAAATTTACATTCCTCAAGGCATGATTTTTGTTTCACTACAAATAACACAAACTGTTTTCGATAGAAAGAGGAAATTGTTAATGTTTACTTATAAATTCATATTTTTTAAGGCTGGTTCTGAATAATTATCTAAACTATACTTAAGCTATAGAAATTGCCTACCCTTTGTCTAATAGGCTAGGACACTTTGGGCTTGGAAATTAGCATGTACCAACATGTCTCTGTCCTAAAAGGCAAGAGACCATCAAACCTGTTAAGTATTTTTATTGACTATGTTTTTTTAGATTGCCATTTGAATTTTTGTTGTAGAGGAGGGGAATCCAATATGTAATATACAAAAAAATTATAATGTAGAAACATGAAGACTTAGAAAAAAGTACACCTACAACTTGGTTCATGTTACTTACTTCTTATTTCATTTAAAAGATGAAATAGTTACAGCATAGCAGTCACTTCTAATCATTTGAAGTTATGAATAGAACTGAGATTTTATAATATTGGCTATAAGAAAAATACCTTCATTTTTTTTTAGGTTGAACAGATGAGAGGCCAATAGAAAATGACTGTGCCTCAGACAGGATGAAACAGACAAGTAGAAACTGAATTAGTGAAAATTTTGTAGGCAAATGAAAATTTTCCTAAGTCATACATTTTTAATTCATTTTCAAGATTGAGCTAACTTACCTACCATTACCTATTTTCAGGGTAAGTATATTCAGGACAATTTATTGTAGCATTCTTTCATATGCCACCAGAGATTATTCATTTGAATTTTTTTTACTATGCAGGAAAATTCAGGGTGCTTTTTCATAGATGACAAAAGAATCACAATGCTAAGAAACCCTATTTCTTTCTTATTAAATCTGTATTCATTAAATTAACTGGCAGTTAGAATCATCCCATTGCATTCAAATTTAGAATTTACTCCTACTGCCTGCTTTTAATGATTTTTTTTAACTATGAGAATTAGAAAATAAGGGACAACAGAGGTTAAAAATAAACTAGATTGGCTCCGTAGTCCTAAAGAGAATTATAGCCTTTCATAGAACAGTGACAATGTAAATATAGAAATTTGTAATAATTTGGTCATGCATGCAGTCTTGTCTCTTGGCTCTAATTGAAACCCATAACAGCTCCTTATGTGAAGAAACAGTGCCTTTTAAGTCATCTATGAGGTGCAGGTAAGTAAAGAGAAACAGTTCTTATCACAAAATAGTCCATTCCTGAACCCTCTTAAAATAAATCACAAGTAAACTTGAATTTTCAGGTCAGCCCTGAAGAACAGACTGACTTTTCTTGAGTTATTTTAACTGGGGTTTTAGAAAACACAAAGTATAGTATGAAGATATTTTATAATTTTAAACATCACTTTCTATACCTAAATGATCCAATTAGATCAACCAATTTCTATAATTAATATCCAGAACTTTTATAGACTATGATAAAGTTAAATTTACAAAACAATTCTAATATGCACTATTGTCCAGTAATCTCCCCAAAATATCACATCCCCTTGAAAATGAGTTGTGTACAAAATTACAAATGCATAGTATTAC